TGTTAGTGTTGACTCGGCGTAGTGCATCAGAAATCAGTATCTGTACCGGAAGCTCTGAAGTTGGCCCTGAGGGATTCCCGATGCCATGCCCTGCATGTTGTGTGTCAAGATCGGAATGCAGTCAAATGTAGTGGTCGGGTACAGTATCGATTCTGGCATGGATTCATCAGAATCATCCGGAGGAGTTTTTAGCCTGCTGTTCAGGAAATCATGCAAAGAACAGAATTGATAACTTTCTATCTCATGACATGCACTCCACAGCCTGAGGTGCTCTGTATGCACTAAAAGCGAGTGATCTAATCTCGTGATTGCGTCGTTCAAGAACTGAGCTGATGGGTGCGTTGCTCTTATAATGAGTGATTCATATAGACGTGAAAGCAACTTTACATAGATGTTTTTGGAGACTTCACAGAGGTTTTTGAGATCCCTGCGAGTCACCTGGGATGGCGAGTTAGTCTGTTTCAAACGCTTCTGGAGAGGGACAGAGGACTGCTTACATGATCGAGCACCATGCGCAGTAGTTCGAGGGGTAGCCTGTCTAGCATCGTGATATCGATAGTCACTCGAAATAGTAGTTGTAGATGAATACTGTTTTCATGTTAGAGGCGAATCTTGAGGCGGGGCCCCACTGGCATGATATACCGGGGGTTCAAGTCACACAATATAGTATGTGGCGAGGTGAAGGTGTCCTAGTGGCTACTAGTATAAATATGAACACCTTTCATGTTGCCTGGACCTATGAATAGCCTTTGTCGACTTCGTACGATCTAGTCTATGGACTATGTTGTTGTCGCGATAAGATGTTGGGGCGGAGGTGGGGGGCAGTTGCCGTAGATCGTACAGGCAAAAGTCTAATAAATGTCTTTGGGAAGGAGGCATTCTATGTGAACTTGATGAAAAAAAGAGGAAACTGGCCAAAGTTGGCGGTAACTTCCGCGCATATATAGGCTGATTCATTATGTGCTGAATAAGTCCCAGCTCTGAAAGGGGGATGCGAGTGTCATTCTATTCGGATAGGGCAAAGTCTCATGAAGCGGTAGCAGTCAAGATCCATCCTAGTGCGCTGTAAGTAGTAAACCCTCCGGATAACAACTGCTAGACTATCCGGTAAACGACTATAATCTTAAGCTGATAGCTCAGAAAGTACATCAGTTATAAGATTACGGGTGAATGTGAGGTCAGATCCTCACACGATGGTGTCATTCCCCCGCTATATTATGCTGTAAATTGTACCAGTGGTAATGTAGTCAATAATCATATTACTTGGTAGAGGATGGTAGAGGGTCATCCCAGATTATTGACAGCAAAGCTGTACAGCCAAGGGATCAACATCGCCCGGAACGGGCCGAGCAATTGTGTCCATCCCAGAGATGTATCATCATCATTTTCAACATTTTTGAGACTGACAGCACCAGCGCACTGACGGAGACTTCAATGTGAGCGGGGTAGGCAAGACCGTAGACTACGGCGTATTGTCTCATTGGTCACAGATATAGTATCATGGATAGTACCTACCGAGATAGCAAAGTAAGACAAAAAGCTTGCAGCCGGCTAAATAAGCGGATGAGATGGTGATGTGCGGAGCAGGATTCGGACTCCGTATATGACCGACTCAGCCACTATCTTAGATGTTCAAATAGCCCCACAATGGGGACGTATACATGGTAATGAGACAATTGAGCAAGCAGAGATAGTCCGAGCAAATAACGGTAGCTCCGCAAGCGACTCAATCGAAGATATAAGGCAAATGTAACACTAGTACTAGCCTTCAGCATACAATAAATTGATACTGTATCGGTATTTGTTTCATTCCGACACCCTTGAACATTCCGTCTAAAGATAGCGCATGAATTGGAAACTGGTCGAGACATGTTTAGCGCTTTCGGGGCATGTATAGTGGCATATTCGCTATCAAATAATCCCTGCAAATGCCTCTATGTACCTTATCGGGCCAATGAGTATCGATGACCCTAGGTTCCTTTCATATTGTCCTCGATGATGTCGGAATAGACAGCACAGATTTGTTCGTACATTACCGTTATTTGCTGAGGGGGGGGGTTAAGGGAAATAAAATAAAGATGGAAGTGCAATCAAAACTTAAAAAAGCACTTGACATTTGGATGTGCTTGTCCCCAAGGTAGTCTACACTAACTTCTCCTTCAATCTCTAGCCTCCCATTGATCCTAACAGATTGATTCCTGACAAACTCCGCTTTGCTGTCTAGTATGTGGCCTTTCTCCCTAATAAAATGCTGGATGATAAAAGATCAAGCGAATGGAATAACAAAAAGACATAGTAACTACTACGAAAGCCAGTAATATTCCAATGCATGGTCATGATGTTTCTTCGAAAAGCAAACCGGAGCGAGGTGAATATATAGCTTTGAACGAAGACGAATCTACTGAAGGCCCTGAATCTCCGGTGCCTAAACGCCGGAGGATATTTTCCCTCATATTTTTCACCAAGCCTCTCGTATATGCGCCTTTAGCAATTGCCCTGGCAGGAGCAATAGCATTCTTCTGGATGACCCATACCAGAAATCACTATACATACACCGATTGCGGAGTGACTCCCGACGAAGCGCGAGCACGAGGTTGTTTATTCGAGCCGATGCAACGCGCATGGATTCCTCCAGAGTGCTACTTTCCGGAGGCAACGAAAGATTACGACACTTTTCGGGACAGACAGTGGTACCTAGACACCAAGATGACGATTGACGCCGATGTAGAGAGGTTGGGGGCTGGGGAAGTGCCCGTAGCCTATACGCGCTACTGGCATGACGAGCATTGTACCTATCTTTTCCGAAAGCTCGCCCTTGCGGTCGATATGGGGAAGAACATGATCAATTCGAAGGCTTTGGATATTGAGCATTCGAATCATTGCGCACTGGCCATAGCCAAGAGACTGGCTAGCTCGTACAATGTCTCGTTTGTGGAAGCTGACCGATCCTTGACGGAGAGCCATTTGGGGTTCGAACGGTGCCTACCACTCAAGGTAAGTTGAACCCCTTGAATATGTTACTTTCCTGTTAACCTTTCGTCCCGCTTCAGACTGTCGTTAGTCCGAATAAGGCTGTTCCGGTTTACCCCAAAGGCTCAGGAAGGAACTAAGTCCTGTCACTGTCATTGTTAAATTGGGTTCGCAAAGCAACGAGGACCTTTTTTGGTGACTGAATTCAAAGCTAGATACCGACTTCTTCCAAAATCCAAACGCTCTTTAATGTTATTTGTTTGCAATGGATATTCATTCCAATCATTAGCAATGTTCTCATGTCTTGGATCTTGGGTTTGCATTGGTCCCGATATCTGAGCCTGATATTCTTGTCCTCGTGCACCGATTAGAATCCGTTTAAAGACAAAGGTCTTTTCCATTATGCGGAAGATACGGAGTAGATAAACCAAACATATTTCTAGCCAGGTAAGTCCTCCAGTGTGGTCCTCAAAGCGAAGCGTATTGGCATGCAAGGAGGCTTCCAATGGTAATCACGTGACATACCGAAACGAGTCGTACCGCCCAACCTCGCTTACCGCTAGCGCCATCAGTAGTTCCCCACCCAATCCTATATAAGCAACGTCCCCCCATCTCCCTTTTAGACTTTTTTCTTCTTTCTTTTCTTCATACTTACCTTGTTTGGGTGACTGCGATCAAGAAGGCGGTTCACCACGGATTGGTCCCTGCATTGCACAGCGCGGCGGAACAATCCGTTCAACGGCCTACGGGTCATTGACAGGCGTATTCTTTGGCACTTCTCCTTTTGGAGTTTTTATTTCCTTTTCATCAGTTCTTGAGCCAGTGGCTCGAGGGTGGAGAAGAGGACTTCTTAGTAGTAGACAGCAGCTTAAGTGGTGGCATTGTACCAGCGAATAAGATCTTAGCAGTCTGTGACGGAAGTAACTACCGACTGGAAGGCAATAATATCCGCGATGTTGGGAGCTCGTACTCTGTGCTTGGGTTGCTAAGCCACGGTCGGTGGGTGGCCTATGACGTTGCGGATGCTGGGTCGTGGATGCTGGGTCGCCACCCCGACGTATATAAGTAAATAATATCGCAGCTCATTACTACCTACAATACCTACTACCTGTCTATCATAATTTAAACAAAATCTTTCTTTTCTCCCATCTGTCCTTCTGATTGAAAGTGACACCAAAACAATATCCATTACCTCTGAAAATGCCACACAAAGATACCAACTCGTTGCCCAACGGCACAGACGGTACCTCGGATCATTCCGCCAACCGCCTCGCAGCAACGGGAAATACCCTCGGCGCGTCCGCCTTTGGCACAGGCATGGACCAGAACAGTGCCACGATACCCGAATACCTGTCCACGGGCTCGGATGATCTCAGGCCTTTGAGCAAGGAGGAAGCGGAGAGATTATACGAGGAGAGAATGGAGGAGGAATATGCGAAGCGGGAGGGAGGTGCTTAATTGGTTGCTTTGATCCATATTGATTGAACACTACGGAGTATTGTGTATATATATCAGATTGACCTGCATATTCACCATGAAATTGAAGTAAATACACCAACCTCACATTGATCAAGTAAAGATTGTTGTAAGTACTATGGATATTACTCGCAACATAGTATATATATATATTGAGGCCAGGCGAAGCAACTTATGTATAATGTATATGTGTTAAATGAAGAAAAAAAAGATACCGATCGACGCAACTCGAACCCGTCACCTCCTCAACACCATACAATGCACCAAGACACTCCTACCTCCATATGAAGTCTGTAAAAGTTGCAAAAAAAACTGGTAGCTTCTCTTTGATTGAGCGTGTCATCCTTAGTGCAGGGGCCATGCTAATCTTCTCTGTATCGTTTCAAATTGACCAAATGCCCGAAGGCAATAGTTACCTCTTTACAATGGATTATATAGGAAGAGCGGGTGTTGTTCTACGGTCCTGATTGGCCACTAAGCGAGCCGCCGGGAACACCAAAACTGCCAGCCAGCCTTCACCCCGCGCTGCTTGCCTGAGGACGCACAGTGTAGTAAGTAGTACGGAGGGTCGGTCGGTCGGTCGGTCGGTCGTCGTGGTTGCGATACGCACGGTCTACATCGGTGTTGAGCACGAGCAGGTTCATTCGATGAGGCAAGGACAGAAGATAGCAGTGTCTGCTGTATATGCCCCCCGGTCATCGTCAGAATGGCACGGATTGTCCTCTGGCATATGCGCCTTAACCTGGTATGTCAGCAATAGTACTAACTCAATGGGAAGCGTAGCTCTGCCACACGGAAGAAGTAAAATGCAAATTGCAATAAAAGGAAGAAGAAGAAGAAGAAGAAGAAAGAAGCAATAACAAGCATAAGCCACCATTTGAGATATTATTAGCACTCGAAGTTATGCTCTAATGCTCAAGAATAAGGTGGAATAGAAGAAGAAAAGAAATATAAGGCGAATAGATACTCCTAGTGGCAGTCGAGGGTGGCCCCTCCTATTCCTCTTACGGCGAGATCGGCTATCGGCCAGCCCCAACAACACTCCATCTAGCGGAGTACTTCAGGTGTAACCGACCACTCTCAATCACATAGTGCAAATACAAGCCCACTACGTGTGGTTAAGCATATTTTGCACGACGGAGTTTCTATAATGCTTGAGTCTACGTCATTAATGTTACGAGCTGGGAGAGCCTTGTGTTTGGGATCAACTCAACCATACCCCCAACGGCGCAGCTGAACCGGATCTACGGAGTAGATGCCTGCGATTTACCACGCATGGCATCTGCCTTCCTTCTCTCTTCTCTCTTCTCTCTTCTCTATCATTATATTTATGATACAAGTCTACTGTGAAGCAGATTTGAGTACGAAGAGGTGCTATTTCCTCTCTAAATCTGGTATGCATTGCTACAAATTCAGGTCCCGGTGTCTGGCCACAACGCAGATCGCTGCTTTTGGTTCGGAGTTATCTTATAACGTGCAATTGCAGGCAGTGAGGCTGCCTAAGTAGTCCATAGAAGGCAATGATAGATAGTAGCCTGGATATATAATTCACTTCTCCCACAGATCCTTCTCCAATCTTTTAAACATCATACCCTCCCCCCTCGCATCAATCAACCTACCAATCACACCCGAAACAAACACTATAACTTACTATTATACAAATCAAAATGCGCTTCACAACTCTCTCCGTCCTACTTCTATCAACTTTAACACTAGCATCCGCAGACTCCGACCCAGCCATCGCAAAGCGAGACGACAACACCGATTCAGACTTGTCTAACCCTCTAAGTAACCTGTAAACCTACCCACCTACACATTCCTTACTCTCAACCCCATCTATATCTAGCTAACAAACCATCAAAACAACAGAGTCAACCCAACCACAACCACCACAATGCCCACGCTCTTCCCCGAAGTGCCTACCTCCATCAGATCCGACCTCATCACTGAAGTACCGACCTCTGTCATCTCCGAGATGACGAACCCGACAGCTTGGTCATCAGTCGCGAGCGAGTGGAAAAACGGAATCATTCCATCGTGGTACAGTAGTCTGAATGGGGATGTGAAATCGTACTTTTCGACGGCGTTTGAAACGGCTTCGCCTTCCACCTCGTCTTCGCATGGTGGTGCTGGGCCTGCGGCTCCGAAGGCGACGGGTATGGCGGGTATTATGGGTGCTGCGGGGATTTTGGGGATGGCGATTGTTCTGTAGGTTTGGCTTTGGGGTCACATTCATGTGTATATATATCGTCAAAACGAAGGGTCAAAGGCATGGGTTTGATATATCCACTCAAGAAGATGGGTGGTTGTTGGACGAGGTGGTGGTTCAGAGACCATACAGGAAGGAAAAGAGGTTAAGGATCAGCTGACTCTGGATGGAGTGAATGTCTCAACAGCATCTCGTTTAGCCTGCATGTCAAAACAAATACATAATAGACGGTCTAATGGGATCCAAAAATGAGTGTGGAATCTTCAATACGGAATCCCCCGAAACCTTCCACTGGCCGATGTTCATCAGGAAGCCATAGAATATTGTCCCTCCCGAGGCAGACTAATCCATACTCCACCTTTATTCGATCGTCAACAGCAGCTAGAGAGACCAGATGACCCTCAGTGTCAGTCTCTATGTGATATAGCTCATGCACCGTGCTGACATAATTGCCACTTTCGGAAAAGTGAATGTAGCGCCCAGTGACACCATCGATAGAACAATGCAATTCACACGATGGCACATCCCACAAATCCAAGGTGAGCTTACCACAGCTCTTGGAAAGCACAGCAAGGGTCATATCGTTCGGCGAAAAAGCCATTCTCATACTTAGATCATATGGTTTTCTCAGGTAGATGTGCTTTCTTGTTGAAAGTTCACGAATGCCGACTTTCGTACGGTCAGTGACAGTTACCAGGTGACCATCGTGTGAGACTTCAAATGATATCAGTATAATTGAGCCGTTGATATTCTTGATTTGCTTCCCCGAAAATGGGTCCTATATTTGGACCTGTAGGGTTTCAGGGTCTATGTAATGACCTTGCTATCCGGCCGGAAAGCAGCCTTTATACTGGCGTAAAACTCAATATCTGAATTGTCAATATCCAACTCCAACGCCCGAATAATTTTCCCACTGCCTGTGTCCCAAACCATGATTGTCTCTTCCGCAAATGCTGCAACAAGGCGGCCGTCGCCAGAGAATTCAGGGCCAGTAATGGGATTTTTGAAAGCCTCGAGCTGGTTCTGTGGAGTGCCTGTGGGGAAATCCCAGAGGGTTGCGCCATCAAGCGTGACCAAGAGAACCAAGTTGAATTTACGGGGCAAGGGATGAATAGAATGAATTGAAGAAGTATGGGAAACAGAGGTTGAGTCTCCATTGCCGACCCGTAGGTCCCACAGGCGTACAATGCCATCGCCCCAATCAGAGATTAGCTCGCCATTGGGAGAGAACGCAAAAGTATGAACACGATTAAGGCGATGCTCTAACTTTCCTGAAGCGCTGCTCCAGAGTTTAGTTGTGCCATCCCAGCCGCAAGAGGCGAAAAATTCACCATTGCATGAGAATTCTACCGACAAAGGGTAAAAAATCTGGGGACTGAACTAGCGAACCAGATCTTCCATTCCACACTTTGACCTCGCCAAGGTAAGAGCACGATGCTAGCAGGCCATCATGAGGAGAAAAGGCTAGAGATCTGATAGGGACACTCACACATTTTGATTTGGGATTGCACTGCCATACTCATAGCCGTGTTCCACAAATTCAATATACCTGTATCAGACCCAGTTGCATATATCTGGCCGCCATGTGAGACTGCTGATGCCATAAGACCATCAATCTGACCTTCCAGCGTCTGATGAAACGTAGGGTGGGCAATATTCCACAGCCCTAACGTGTGGGGGTTGGTGGACATGTCCTGTACGAGCACTGCCGTGGGGTGCTCAAGGGATACTGGTAGGACGATGCTATGATATAGTGGTTGGCTTGCGTATGGTTTGGCCATATTGGATTAAAGTTAGGTATACTGGCAAGAGTATTGATTGGCAGGCATAGAAGGATTTGTTATTGACATGGAGTAGTTCATACTGAGACATAATTCTTAATATCATATACTACTGTGTAGGAAGCCAGTAAACTGCACAATACTCATCATTGGTCCAATACATATATATCTTCAACTGACCAGAGACGACCCAGGTACAGGAGGCTTAGCCATAGTAGTCACGCCATTCCATAAGTACTTAGTACACTGGAAATGACTGAACCATTAGTCTGACGCTTCACTACTCGGGTACTAGTACTTGAGAACATCTGGTTCGGTCATCGACTGAAGGATACTGATGATTATTGTTAGTTGACACTTCTTTATATGCGGATAAAAGTCTTCTTCTTGTTTCCAGAACCCCATATTAGGGGTTGCGGTGCGGAGCTAAGTAAGCTTACTCCACTGGTAGTGAAGCATCGCAAACTTAATGACCTAAACCCGAGATAATAGTGGGCGCTCTTGCTGATCGCGGCCTTCGGCTCAGACCTGCCCTTAGTGAAACCGGTCGAAGGCGGGTCAGAACGTTTAGTGATCTTCGTTAAGTGGATTTAATGATATTCAGGGCGAAATCCCAAATATTGAGAGTATTTCAACGCTCATCGTATAGTTATTCTGAGTAATAAGCCCAAGTAAGCAGTCTCACGAGAGATGCCTGGCGGATCCTCGGTATCTCTCCCAAGATTTCTCTCAATTCCAGCCATGGAACGTAGAACCCGAACCGGAAAGCTCCATTACAGTGATTGTCGGAAGACTGGCTCCATCGAAGCCAAGCTCCATGGACACGGCACAGCTATGAAGGCGAAACCCCTAAAACAGATCGCCCTTCACTTACGTCAATTTGCTCAGCAGTGCAGCAACAACAGACAAGTGCACAATGCTACACAGCGTGCCGCGTCTCACCCTGAAAATTTCAGACTGGTGTTGAGCATTGGCCTCCTGGTCAGATATTAGCTGCATCGCCACACCTACTTTGCTGGTGAATTCGGTGTATTCCCCCTCTCGGACTGCTCTCAATCCGCATCGGAGACCGACAAGTCTGCATCCGAGTGCGTAATCGAGCAGCGACCTTGCTGCATCTGCCCAGTCAGTGTCCTGGTAAATGTCAGCGGTGCTTTGTGAAAGCCAATCAATATCGGTGTATTGGCTTAACGCCGAGGGGCTGCTGGAGCTTTGCGCCGAGATCTACACCCGCTGACAATTACGCGGCTTGTGATTGGCCCGCGCCAAGGCAGCCTGGAAGGGTCTGGAGAACAATCAGAAAAAGTCGATTCTGGCTGCCACAGGGGGACTTTTCTTATAAATATCAGTGCTTCCAGAAAGATTTTTCTTCTAGCTGAAACCGTCATCCAGATCAAAGTTTTCGAATCCTATCAAGCTTCTTTCTATCACGTCTGGACTTTGTTTGTCTCGTCCAGCTTCGCTGTCTCTCGAGAATCCCTCAGCCTTACCGGAATTGTTAAGAGGGTCTAGATTCGGCCACCGACTCCGGCTTCTGACGTCAGGCCTGAGGCAGCCCGCAGCAGCCCAGTCAATCTACAATGGCGCTATTATTTCTGAAGCAGAAGCTCTTCCCGAGCGAAAAGCAAAAACAGGCCCTTCCATATGGTATGCTCGCCTACCAATGGATAATTCAATACGAGCTGGACTGACTAAACCAGGCAAACCACTGCTTTCCAATGAAGATACCGATACTTTGCCGACCGAGCAAGACCTCGAAGCTCAACGGTCTTACTCTACCTTCCGCGCCTCATCTCCCGTTTCCGACACCGACAGCACCGCCGCCAGCACTAGCAGTTCGCGATCACGAATCAACCCACGCATTGTATCCGATGCCATTCTAGGTTTATCCGATGGCTTGACGGTACCGTTCGCGCTGAGCGCTGGTCTCTCGGCGCTGGGAAACACTAAAGTCGTTGTGCTTGGTGGATTGGCCGAATTGACCGCGGGTGCCATTTCCATGGGCCTGGGAGGATATGTCGGTGCGAAGAGCGAAGCGTGAGTTCCCTACTCGACTCTGTATCTCTCAATCAATCCTAACAGCAAATAGTGAATCTTACGAAACCACCGTTCGTGAAGCAAAAGAACTCATCGACACATCACCTGCCGAAACAAGCTCCATCGTCCAGTCCATCTTCGCTTCCTACCGTCTCCCCGAAGATGTCATCAACCAGATTAACATGTCCCTCCACTCCTCTGAAGACCGCCTCCTCGACTTCCTGGTCAGCTTCCACCACAAGGAATCCGAGCCTGACTGCAACCAGGCCTGGATCTCCGCCATCACACTCGCGCTGGGCTACTTCGTGGGAGGTTTCATCCCACTCATCCCATACTTTATCGTCGACCAAGTGATCGTGGCCTTGTACATGAGCATCGGAGTCATGGCAATCACACTGCTGGCCTTCGGATACATCAAGACATGTGTGGTGCGCGGCTGGTCCGGGCGCGACAACGTCGTCGCAGGCATCAAGGGAGGAATACAAATGTGTTTCGTGGGCGGAGTAGCAGCCGGAGCAGCGATTGCCTTGGTCCGGTTGATCGACACCGGCGGAGCGTAATCTCCCAACCGCAAAAGTTAACCATCCCATTATCTCATGCCATAACGACTGTACATTAATAGATACCACGACCACCATTCCATAGAGCGGCTCTTTGACAACAAAACAAATTCTAACTTTAATCCATATCCAAAATACTTATTCACAAAGTAACAGTCCTATATAAAACAAATAGATATGGACCAAAATCTAACCCATCAAAGCCTCCTTGACCAATTCATTTGCCTCATCCCCCATCTGCAACTCCAATGCCAAACCCCTCCCCCGTTCCGACATCTTTCCCCAGGTCTTTTTCAAGATCTCCACCACCTTCTTCCTCTCATAGTTTTCTTTGAACTTTTCAAATTGATCGTCCAAAAACACCAAACACGCCACATCCTCCAAAATCTGCGCCTCCGCATCCTCCCCTCCCTTCAACCCTTCCTTGCGAATCAACCGGCCCACGCGCTCCGCGTCCGCCTCCTCAATCCCACTCTCCAGACACACCTGCACCGCTATCTCAGCCTGGCGACGCGCTACCGCCGTCCGCCAGGAATAATAACCTACTTTACCATCGGGGTAAGTACTGCGGGGTACCTCCCAGCGCTTGAGGTGCTGGGCGCGGATAGCGAGCTGGAGGGTCGGGGAGGGATCCGGGGTGTGTTTGTATAGGTAGCTGGTCATTTTCTCGGCGTAGTGTAGTTCGTAAGGGATATTGGTGTTGGAGACTTTCGTGGGGTCTTCGGAGTGGAGGGCGTCGATTCGAGTGAGGGCGGTTGTGAGGGGGTCCATTTTGACTTCTTATTATGGTAGGCAGTTGGATCGGGAGGGTAAGTTGTGATTGTAGTGGATATATGGTTATATATACAAGATATGTATAGAAAACGTAAAAAGGTTGGATCTGTACAGGAGTAATCTGTAGAGAAACGCTGTATTTAGGTGATAATTTATCGAGTTATTGGATTCCGACCTCGGGGTTGCCTTTGCGGTTCGGTGCTGCACTGCATCAAATACCGGCTGCGGGATTGGCTGGCGGGGTCGGCATTTGGGTGGGTTCCAATTCTTTTCTGGGTATGTGAGGGTGGGTGGGGGGATGCTGATAAGCGATAAGGAAGTACACCCCACATGTTGGGTTGGGTTTTGATGAGTTTAATATTGAGTTATTGAGGTATAGCATGTGGGACATATAAGGCTGGAGGAGAGTCCGCGGAGATGTGGCTTTCTTAGGGCATAGAGTAGTTATGTTTGCTTCTTTGTGTGATCATAGTCCGAGTCCGATGCTCTGGGGTTCTGAATACCTACGTACTCTTTGGTATGCATGCATAGCTTTGGTTGACATAGCGTCAGCTATCTGAATTGGATGCGATCTTTATTCGCAGAGTGAATTTCAGGACATGGCTCATTTTCATGACTCGAAGACGCTGTGAGTTCACACATAACTCTGGTAAGATGGAAAATTTCAGGCGCCTCTTGTAGCTCGGTGCTAGATTTACATGTACTATTCCGAATATACTCGAAGATAGTATATGTGAAGGGAGTCTCACTTTAACCATACATAACATACTTTCTGGGCAATATATTGATAGCAGCATATCTCTCGGTCTGCCTGGTATCGGAGTCAAGACCCAAGTTGCCTAGCGGTTAGGGCACTCCTGCAACTAAATGGGAACAGTGCCGATGTCTATGAAGTAATGACACAAACCAGCATCAATATTTCGGATGAATGTTTGCATCTAATGCTAGAACAAAAAACCAGCCCCCACTGGTATTTGGTATTTGTGTACAATGTATAGGCGAAGCATCGAGACGACTGTTCGCAGGTATCATCATTGTGTGAAGCTAGCCCCAGTACTAGCTACCACAGTAAACATCCCTACTACTCCTACTTCCCGGCCGCTGTTATGTTATGCCTATATTCCATGGCTATAATGCAGTCGTAGAAGAGCTAAGATAGACACCTCCCCTTTTATTAACAAAGTACAGCGCTGAGACGGAGAGCAAAGTTTATTGCAAGTCAAGATGCCACTACCCATTAGTGCAAGAAAGCGGGATAGGATCAGCCGGCCAACCTTCTACAATCATCTTCATACCAACAGTGTCACGGACTCTCTTAACAGCTGCGGGGTTATACACAAGGTGGGTACTTATTCTATTCCAGAGATGTGGCAAAGTCCAATAATAGTATGGTTGATCACGTCAACCCCGCTTCCACTGCGGATCTTGATATCACGGATGAGCCAGGATATACTGCAAGATTCAGCTTCCGGAGCTTCCCACTACAATTCGGAAATACGGATTGATTGATCATCATTCTTCAAACAATCGGCAGATTTGACAGGCGTATCAACCTCGGCATCGAACAACACAGGGTCTATAAACACCCCAAATCAATATGATGCAACTGCTACTGCGTGCGGGGGTGTA